GCATTTCTTTCACACAGCAAGAACAAACCTGGCGGGAGAGGGAGATTACGGCAGAAAAATACTTTCCGCTGAATTACCGCAAAAATCACACCGGCCCTTTCCTCCTGGGCCGTTCCTTCCCGCAGACGGGAGGATGAGGGGGTTTTTACATCCCGGTTTTAGAGGGGTCCCGGGGGGGTTTGCTGTGTCAAGGTTCCAGCACTGGGCTCGTGAGGGTTGCCCTGTGGGCCCTGAGCCTGTGATGTGCTGTTAGGTGATTAATTCACAAATATGCATTTTTGTCACTTTATGCATTATGTAAATTATTTTAAAGATTTATATTATTTTATATATTTATATAGAATACATTTATTTATATAAATATATATTTTTATAATTTTCTCTATGTATTTAATTAAAGTAATAATCATAATTATTTAAATTATTATCATTTTATATTTATATATTTATATACTCATGTGTACTATATACACATTATATATTTATTTGTATACATTTATATATTTTATATATTATATAATTTTTATTATTTTATATATTTATATCTAATGCATTTATTTATATAAATATATGTGTATATAATTTTATCAATTTATTTAATTAAATTAATATCCATAATTATTTAAATTAATATCATTATTTCATATTTATGTCTTTATATGGTCACGTATACTATATATACATTATATATTTATTTGTATACATTTATATATTTTATGTATTATATCGTTCATATTATACAATTTATATCACTTGATATATAAATATATATTTTATGTCTCATTTTATATACAAATATACATTATTTATATAACCATACTTCTGAGGAGAAGAGAGGGTGATCAGCAAATCACAGGATGTCCTGAGCTGGCTGGGTCTCCCAAGGATCATCCAGCGCAACTCCTGGCCCTGCCCAGGACACCCCAACAATCCCCCCCTGTCCCTCAGAGCGTTGTCCAAACGCTCCTGGAGCTCTGGCAGCCTTGGGGCCGTGCCCACTGCCCTGGGGAGCCTGGGCAGTGCCCACCACCCTCTGGGGGAAGAACCTTTCCCTGAGATCCATCCCAAACCTGCCCAGGGGGAGGGGACACATTCCATGGGGTTCCATCACCCGTGGGATTGGGAGGAATGTCACAAAGGGAGCTGTGACATCACCAGCTCTGAGGTGATGCCAATGGAACCCCTGCCCTGGCAACAGACCCTGTGCTGGGGGGGTCTCACCAGGCACCTCTGCCCTGCCCCAAAAAGGACCCAGACGTGCCTTGCTGGGGCAGGTCCTGGCTCTGTCTGCACCTGCAGGAGAAGGTGGGGTGGTGATGGTGCCCCAGGTGGGCTCCAGGCCCTGCACTGCTGGGAGGTTCTTCAGACCCGGTAAGGTAGGCTGGGAAGGGGTGGTGACAGAGCAGGGAAGGCACCTCCAGCCCCAGGGATGGGATTTTCTACCTCTGTGCCCTGAGCAAGGTCAGTCCCACCGGGACTCCCAAGGCTGTTTGAGCAGCGTGTAGGCGGCACCAAACCCACCCAGGCGACACCAAACCCACCCAGGTGACACCAGGCCATAGGACCTGTGTGCTGTGGTCACTGTCTGGCTGTTTGTAGCACAGATCCAGCTGCTTTTCCAACAGGGAAGCCCCAGCAAGTGCTAAAACCTTGTATTGCCTCTGCGCTCCTTTCATGGGTGCTTTGGGCAAACTCCCAAGTGAAGCATAAAAATGCAATTTCCTAATTTTCTTCCTCCTGCTGCCCCTAAATCTGGTGTTTTTACCAGAGTGGACTGGGTGAGTTTGTGCAAAGGCCCAGCAGTGGCTCAGAGGGAAATTTGTGTTTGCTTCTTGCAGGCTGATGGAAGGGGAATAGAATTCAGTGATTGGTGCTGACAAAATGATGCATTTGCTGATAAATCAGCCATTTCACAAATTAAATGGCAGGCTGGGCACCCTGGGGCTCTCCTGGCTGCCCCAGGCTGAGGTTCCCAGCGGAGCAGGGCAGGGGAAAGACTGATGAGATGTAATTAGTGGTGGAGAAATTGAGGGGCAGGGGGAGCAGGAATGATGTGCCCTTTCCTGGGGAGCTGTAAATCCCAGCAGGTGGGAGATGGGGTGGGTGGTCTGGATCCTGCCCTGGACAAGCAGTTCAGGTTGTTCCTGTTTTCCCCATGGAAGATGGAACAGGAGGGAGTTCTGCTGCTGGGAAATGGTGCTGAGAACACGAGGTTACAGAGGTGTCTGAGTGTGTGAGTCCCTGAAGGGTGTCCTTGCTGCACAAAGGGCTTTTTGGCCTCTGTTTCCAAAGCAGATGGAGCATTTTCCTAACTTTGAGAGCCAAATTGATGAGGAATTGCTGGGGAGAATGATGAGAGGCAGCTGAATCTTATCTCTGCACTTCAGGCTTGTTTCCAGTGTTCAGCACGAAGTGTTTAAAGAGCTGAAAAGGAGATTGATAAACTGTGTCTGACTTGACAGCGATTACCAAGGCAGTGCCAGGCAGGTCCAGAAGGGGAGAAGAGGTGATCCTGGTGCTGCCAAATGCCAGTTCACACCCTGGTAGCAGCAGGGACTCTGAGATGAGTGGAATGAGGACAAATACAAGGATAGACAAGCTTAGGAACGAGCCCTGGTGCATCCGCAGGGGAAGAGGGGCAGTAAAGGCAAAGGTTGTGCTGGGGGAGTGACTGTGCAGGGAGGATCTGCAGGATGGAACCGGCTCTGGGGCACATTCCTGAGATCCAGCTGAGCCTCTTCACCCACTGAGGGTGGCAGGCTGAGCCACCTGTGTCACTGCTGAGCCCCACAGCCAGCGTGGCATGGTGTCCAGCCATAACTTGGAGCTCACTGCAACACCAGGCAGGGAGCTCCAAGAGGTTTCCCCCTCCCTCTTGGTGCCCCTTCCAGCTGCAGTTTTGGCTCTTAATTTTGGGGGTTGGGGTTTGACTCCCTGCCCGTGCTGGCAGAGGTGTGTGTGGGGTTGGAGGCAGCTGGCACAGCCTGGTGTGCCAGGGAGTTGCTGGTGCCAGGGCGGGTGTTTGGCATGTTCCTGCAGAAAGGTATGTCTGAACAATTCCTTAGGGAAATGGGGTCTCATGGGAAGGTTTCCTTGGCTCTTTGGATCCCCACAAGCAGGTCAGGCAGAGCTGGGTGCTGCTGTGTTGCATCATTTCTGCGTTAGATCAGCTCCATGTGCTCCCAGTTTATCCTGGGCCTGGAGTTCTTCCCAGAGCTCCCCTGGGAAAGTGTTGGATTTTCTGCCTTCCCTTTTGTCCCTGAGCTGGGCAGTGGTGCCAGCTCTGCCCTGCTGGGTGTGCTGGGCCTTTCCTCTGGTCCCAGCAAATCCTGGGAAGATCCTGTGGGAAGAGGTGACGTGGCTCGTGTCGATGAAGGGCAGTTCTTCCCCCATGGCCGTGGTGAACAAAAGAAAATTCAGAATATCTACCAAACAGGTCCAAAAAACAGCCCCTTCCTCCCCCAGTGCTCAGTGGCACATTTCCACAGCCTGTGGCACCACGTGTGTGTTTTTGGGAGTAAGAAACTCTGGGGTGAGAGGGGAACCAGGGTGAAGGAGACAGAGGTGCAGCAGAGACAGTTGGATGAATGTCCAGGGGGTTTCCCAGGGCTGCCAAGGCAGGAGAGCTGGTGCTCTAAGGGCAGAAAGATGTGCCAGGGGGGTTGGGATGGATCTCAGGGAAAGGTTCTTCCCCCAGAGGGTGGTGGGCACTGCCCAGGCTCCCCAGGGCAGTGGGCACGGCCCCAAGGCTGCCAGAGCTCCAGGAGCGTTTGGACAACGCTCTGAGGGACAGGGGGGGATTGTTGGGGTGTCCTGGGCAGGGACAGGGGTTGGGCTGGATGATCCTTGTGGGTCCCTCCCAGCTCAGGATATTGCAGGATTCTATGATTAGACCCAGTGCTATGGTCAGACCCCGAGCTGGGATGTTCTTCCCACTCCCAGAGCTCCTGTCACACGGTGGCAGCTCCAGCCAGGACACCCTGGGTGACAGGACACCCGGGGAGATGTTTTGCAAGCAGCTCTGCAGGCATTTTAATCTGATGTTTGCCGACAACAATTGGGGCTTGAAAGCCTTTGTTTGATTGGGGCAAACAGGTTTCTAATCCTCTGGGGAGGAAACTGAGCCAGGGGAACAAACTGGTCCAACCTGAGCTTCGCTTTGAAAGCCCAAAAGTCAGTTTGGTTGCCTGGAGTGGGAGGATTAACGACTAACAGTGGTTTCATTAATTCCAGTGCTTTCACTTTCAGGGGAGAGCTCATCTAATGTAGTATCATATAATTAAACAGAGATCAGCTCTGTCTCCTGCAGAGAGCTGGGGCAAAAAAATGAGAATTTTGGGGTGATTCTGTCTGGCTGGGATGAGCTGGAGGGGCAGAAGAAGGTCCTGGTCTCATAATCAGCCCCCACGCTCTGGGCTGACAACCAAGGAGCAAAACCCCACAGGGATTTCCACAGGGCACAACTTGTGATTTGGGGTGAAAAGCGTCGACACAGAGGAAATAACGACTTTGTGGCAGTAAATGTGGCATTTATTCAACTGGAATCAATCACCAAAGGCACGGCCTGGCCGTGCCCCGCTCAGATTTAACAATGCATCTGCACATCATCTCTTGTCATAATTATAAATAGAAATATTTTAATTAATTTAAGATACGAAACAGTGTAGTTAATTTAAGGTATTTACATTTCAAAAGCTAAGTCGTGACATAAAGCTAAAATCTAGGTGAAATTTCTAAGGCTACAACAGTCAGTCCCCAAAAATCTATAAATTAGTATAATTTTAAGCCTTTTTCAGAAAACTGACGTTAACACTGAAGGGCTTTGCAAACTGCAGCTCTTTAAGAGGAGAATTTGACCTTTTTGTGGTCTTTATTTTCTGCTGGTTGTGCCATAGTACAAAACACTGCAGTGCTTTAAAAAAAAACCACTTTCCTCAGCATCTGCATTGTTGGCAGTTTCCTGTAGTATGAAAATAAATTCTGGCAATAGTGCAAAGATCCGTCTCAAGATGAGAGGAAAACGCTGAAAATAATTTATTAAAGAAACATTTCTCTAGTATTTATAAATATCTTTCCTTCATCAGTGGGCAAACGGGTCTGTGAGGACCCGACTTCCTCTGTCAATGCACTTTTCCTGTGCTCAGGTGTGGGAAGTACAACCCGTACAAGCCTTGCTGGACCTGGTACAGGTGGGACTTTCTCCTCAAGCAAGAGATGACCTGGAGGGAAAAGGACAAAATGAATGGCAAAAATAGGAATCTGTGCTTTGCCCACCCTCAGAACGCCTCCAAACCACTTGGGGAATGAGAGGTTTGTCCAAAGCTGTGAGGATGACACTGGCACAACCCCCAGCTCTGAGATGGAGGTTTTTCCTCTCCTAAATCTCCCTGGCTGGAATTGTCACTCCTGAACCTCTCAGGACAGCAATTCTTCCTCTCTGCAGATTTAGCTCTTCCCTTCAGCTGCTGCAAAGCAAACAGCTGCTTTTTAAACTGTGCTGGTAAGATTTTGATGCCCATCAAACCACCCCCCAGAGATGGGAAGAGGGGGGTTTTCCCTGCCTTTTCCAAGGATTTGCAGCTGGAGTTTGGCCCTGCCAGGCTGCAAAACCTGCAGGTTAAGAGCACTGAGTACGAAATTCTAGGTGTGGTCACTAAACACGTTGTCTCTGGCCCTCCCTTGCCTGTAACCCGATCGTTCTGCAGATACTGAAGAGGGAAGAGGTTTTAAGAAGTGCTGCAGGGCATGCCCTAAATTCCACCTGTCATCTTGGGCTCGCCCTCACCTTTGGGTTGCTGTTTTTCTCTCTGCAAAAAACACTCGAGCTCAGCCACGACCCTGCTGCTTTTCTAGAAAGGTGATCCTGCTCCCTTTCCTAGAAATCTTCTCAGCTGGCTAGAAATTCCCTTCCCCATCCTCTCCTGTGCTCAAAGCCCCGGGAAGAGCCGGCGGTAACAACAGGATTTGGCACCTCGTTTGCTGTTGGGGGGGTTAAATACTGTTCCCACTGGGATTCTTGGGAATGGGAATGTCCCTCCTGTGAGGCTCCAGGTGTCTGGGCACTGCTGGAGCCCAGGGACAGGTGGGACAGCAAAGGGGACACTTACCAGGAAGCATAAGAAGAGGAGGAGGACGAAGCCAAGCAGGGTGAAAACGCAGATGAGGATGATGGCCCAGAACTGAAGCTCTGCAAAGGGAAAAATAAGGGCACATCAGGGTTTTGGACTCGTCCACAGGGGATTCAGAGCAGGAAGTCTCACCCTGGCAAAGTTTAACAGCGCTGAGGCCAAATGACAGGAACTTGGATAAAATGGAGTCTGAGGATCGACCACTCTAAATGTGACACTTCAGGGATGTTCAGAGGGACAAAGTTCTCTCTTAGCTGCTTCTTTTGGGGAAGGGGACAGGGCTAAGGGTGGCAGCAAAAGCTGTAGTTGTTTTGCCAGTGTGTTTGTGGTGCACCAAAAAAAGCAACACTTCAGAGGACTTTTTTTCTTTCTCCTGCTTGCTGTTGGTTCTGGGGTGGTGGCTGTGCTTACACCACCATATCTGGGGGGGGGTTAGATTTTATTTTTTTTATAAATACTGCAGTTATAAACATTTATTGATGCCAGAGCTTTAAACCAGCTTCCCAAATTGGATTGGTTTTGCCTGTCCTTCATCTCCTCAGCCTGGCTGGCTCTGGTGGTACCCACTGTTTGCTGCCAACCTACCAAGAGGCCTAGATTTTGGGTCTCTTCCATGGGTATGGTCTCCATTTCAAGGGTCCAGCCTCAATTTCAAGGCATGTAATGCTAATTTATCCTAGTTCAAGTCTTCAGTGGCTGTAGGGTCAATCCCTCCCAAAAAGCACTTACCAGATCTTTTGGGCTCCGGTTCATCTGTCTTGAGTGGAGAATAACCTGGGAAAAAAAAAAAAAAAAGAGTGGGGACAGATGAGAAACAGAAGCCTCTGGAGCTGATTAAACCCAAGAAGAATCCCCCAAATGTCCCTGCAGAGCTCTCACCTTCAACGACCAGGCTCTGCTCCTCCAGCTCGTAGCTGGGGCCCAGCTTGGTGAACCCCTGGGTCAGTTGTTTCAGCTCCTCAAACACCTCTTGCTTTTGTAAAGTCCCTGACAGGGGATCCAGGGTGAACTTGCAGATGGAGAAGACATCTGTGTATCCTTTCCCATGGACAGGCCTGGAGGGTGACAGTCACAAGAGTCATTGTGGGGGAGAGAGGAGGAAGCAGAGCTGAGCAGGGGATTCAGGTTTGCAGATGTCTCAGCAGTGTTTTATTAGCAAAGGGATCACTTTTTGAGTTTATTCCAGAAGAGACAGGAGCTCTTGCAGCCTCGTGAAACCACCCACTGAGTTAATCCCCATTTCTAAGAGGTAAATCAACTCGGCTGCTTTGTTCCTCCAAAGAGGTGTTGGAGGAGACACAACACAGGCAGATCCTGTCCCCGGGCGGGGTCAGTCCCGCTGATCGCTTTGCTGATGTGTGTCGGTGGAATTTCAGTGTGCTTGAGTACTTGAAATAAGAGAAAGAAACGTGTTTGTTCTCCTCCGGAACTGTTTACGCTTTGCAAGCACGGAAACAAAACCACCTCCCCTTGGGACAGAAACCTTTTGTGGCAAGAGAAGAACCTCAATGAAGGTGCCTCCTGTGTGTCATCGGGAGCACAAAGGCCGTCGGTGAGGCGTGAACACCCTGCCGTGACCCTGAATGCCCTCCCGGGCTGCTCTTTGGGGCGCAAGGAAAAGCCACCTCCAAGCAGGACTCACCCAAAACTCTCCACGGTACAGCCGGCGAAGTGCTCCTTCAGGCGGCTGGTCCCGAACACATCGAGCTGGTGGGAGAAACGAAACAGGGGATGAAAACGGGGGTCAGTTTAACTCATCCTTCGGGCAGGGAGCTCGAGCCACGGCTGCTCATCTCACCTCTTTCTCGATCCTCTCCTTGTTCGCTTGGTACACGCGTGAGCCGGGGTCCCGCAGCTGCGGCGAGAAGGGCAGGTTGGAGATCCGGAAATTCAAGCCGAAGTTTTCCTTCCCGGACTTGAGGGGTGTTTTGTAAGTTGCCGCCTCGATGGCTAATTCCAAGGCTGGAAACGGAGGGGGAAAAAGTCAGTCTGAATTCCGGCAGAGAGAAACCGGGGCTCTTCCACCAAAGACTTTTCACTGGTCTTAGATTAACAGAACTGAATTTAACTGGGCTCTGACAGGAAATTCCCAATCAGTCCTTCAGCCACTCTTCTATTTGGGATGCTGTACGTTGGATAAAACACCCTGAAAGTCCGTTTATCTCTAAATGGTCGAAGTTCTGATGAGTAGTTGCCACTTCCTTTTCTAATTATTTAATTCTGAATAACACCTTAATAATGAGTAACATCTTAAAATAGAATAATGCCTTAAAATTGAATAACATCTTAAAATAGAATTACACCTTAATATTGAATAACACCTTAATACTGGATAACACCTCAATCTTGAGTAACAACTCATTATTGATAAGTTATGATAATAACTTATCATTAACTTATCATGACAAGACCTTAAGCCACTGAAGACTGAAGGGCTACACTGAGCCAGACTAAATGTCTGAATGGCCCAACTTGTAGCTGAGCTCAGCGATTCAACTGAAAACCACATTTATTTCCGCTCTGACAGGCCAGAAATCGGGGAATTCTGAGCATTCCGTGGTAAAGGGAGGTGACTGGGTGGAGAGAGATTTGAGCTCTACATACTGTCCACTGAGAATTCCTGCAGGCTGTAGCTGCTCCCCAGCCACAGTCCAGTTTCATTGGAAGTCCCATCCTGGAAGGTCCTTTCAACCACGGCCCTGTTGATGTTGGGTTCAGGCTGGAAGAAGCACTGGCAGTCGACCACTATGGATCCAGCCCTGTGGGCAGAGGGACAGAGGTTCTGTGCTAAAGAGGCTGATGATCAGAAAAATTCTCGTGGGAAGGAGTTTGCTGAGGGGTTCCTGCTCCTCCCGAGTGCTGGGTTTGAAAGTAACGGGGCGGAAAAACGACGTGGGAATGGGTTGGTTTGGGGGTTTGACTTGGACAGGGACAGCAAAGGAAATATTACCTGTTCTCTCTGTGAACTTAGGCTTTACTGCACGAACAGGTCAGCAGTTTGGGGGTTTTAAAAGCTCTGGGAGGGTCCCTTGTCCAAGCCTCTTCCCACCCAGAGCTGGACACTACAGCTATACCTGAAGCTCACTTTTAAAGCCTTGTAAAGCCTCAAGTGAAGAGGGGGGAGTGCAGAGGTCACAGGACCATCAGTTCCCATTAAGAGGATGGGAATCAGTAATTTCTGGGATGCTCAGCAACCTGAGAGTGCCTGACTGAGACTGAGGAAAACATCAGTTTACAACAAGCCAGAAAAAACCTCAAACTGACAGATGAAGCCTAGAAATGACTTCTTAGGGCATAAATTTCCGACATGAGAGGGAAGGGGAGGATTTCCACAGGGGACAATGGCACTTGGGCACAGGGGGAAGGGTGCCAGGGTGTGGCAACCCTTCAGCCACACTCAGCTCACATCCCAGACCTCAGGCGGGTGATGTTGCAGCTCAGGAACTGGTCCCGCAGGTGGCTCTGCCGGTACAGCTGATTCATCTGCAAGACAAACGTCACGGTAAATATTAATGAGCGCTGGGCACTCTGCAAGGTGCTTCAGGCCAGCAGGAGGGACTTGAATGCTGGAGAAAGCCCAGGCTTTGGGCGGTTTTTTTTTCGGTTGGTTGGTTTTTTTTTTCCTGGTTGGATTTCATGGGAGTTGGTCTCGACTTTGCAACGTGCCTTCTGGTGATGGAATCTGACTGCCAGCCTGGCAGATCTTCCTGCCTTATCTGAGCAAGCTGCCAGCGTTAAAGAGCCCAGTCTGCTGAGTGGCAGCTGTCAACTCCCTGCACACCTCACACACCCAGGACTGGAAGTCCAGAGTGTTACGGTTTCATCTGAAGAGCCGAATTAGGGCGTCATCAGCCTGGTAGGCTGGGGTTGCTGCTGAAGGGAAGGGAACGTGCTGGATTCTCAGCTGTGAGTTCTGGATGTGTTGACCCCCAAGCTGGCAGGGATTTGCAAACCCTGCTGGAGATGGGGCTGAAATGCTGAGTCCCTGTGCATTTGACAGAGCACCCAAACCTCCTGATTTTCACACTCCGTGCCTTTGGCTGGAGATGATTTCTGCATCCAGATTCCCAGGATTCGCTGGGTCAATCTCATCTTTCAGATTCTAAAAATTTTTGTTCCTAAATGTTGATTTTTATTTATTTTTGGTTTAGTTTAAATTAAAGATGTAAAACTGTGGCAAAAAATTGACCAAACAGGATGGTATTTGAGCTGCAGGTCCTCACCTTGTTAGCGATGCTTTCCACTGCTGCTTTGTACTCTGGAGACTGAGGGTCTGGGTTGGTTAGATTTTCATTGACTATTCTAAAGCTCAGCCTGTAGCCTTTTTTGCCTGGAGCCTCAACAAAGACAGGCTTTCTGGTGGTTTCTGTGAGGGGAAAACCTAAATAGAAAAAGCAGAGGGTATTTATTTTTACACCAGATCTATCCACACCATAAAAACAATATATGTACGGTCCTGCTTAGATTATATGATATAAGAAGTAAATTCTCCAGGGATTTGTATGATTTAAGGGTTGGAGATGCTTCTAGAGTGGCAAGATCCTGCTGGATTGGTTTTGCCACAGCGTCAAAACCTACAGAAAACCAACCAACCAAAGGGTTCCTCAGCGCTCCAGCCCCAGTGGAGTGATGGGGAGTGACCTCCAAGAGATCCTAAAAGAAGAGTGATCTCCCAGAGATCCCAAAATCATGATCTACTCATGGGTACTCACCATTGACATACAGGCTGTTCTGGTCCAGTCTGTAGTGCCCCAGTTTGGTGACACCCTCTGTCATGGTGCTCAGCTCCTGATAAACCTGTTCCCTGTCAAACCTGGCCAGGCTGGCACTGTCCTGGTAGCTGCAGATGGCATCTACTCCTGTGTCATCCCTGTGCCTCCCAGCCCTGAGGAAAAAACATCAGGCACGTTCTTTAGGATGCTCTGTGTGATTTGCATGACCAGGAATGGCACCCAAAATCACTGTAATGGGTTTTCAGCAGATGACATTTAGATACCAAAATGATTCTACCATCGTGAAGGGACTGGGAGGTGTCCACAGGGAGGCTCCTCTATTCTGACATCAGAACAACTACGATAATTTATGCAAATTTCAGGTGGGTAGGAGCAGATGAAGGTTAATTGCACTTTCAGGAGTCTTTGAAGGTACTTTCAGATACTTTTAGTACCAGAAAAATAAACATACTTTCAGTATCTTTATTAGGGAGGTGTCAGAGGGTGGGGCCAGGCTTTTCTTCGTGGTGTCAAGTATTAAGATGCAACAGGCGGGAACTGATGCCCAAGAAGTTCCACCTGAACATGGGGAAGAACTTCCCTGTGCAGTGAGCGAGAACTGAGCAGAGACCAGAGAGGGAGTGGAGTCTCCCACCCTGGAGATATTCCAGAACCATCTGGACTCAGCTCTGTGCCACGTGCTCTGGGATGGCCCTGCTGGAGCAGATGACACACTGTGGGCCCTTCCAACCTGACCCAGCCTGAGATTCTTACCTGAACCTCATCGTTTTACATCCTGTGTAGGCAGAGCTTACGCTGCTTCTTTTGAACAGAGGGTCAATCTGTCAGGGGAGAAAAACCAGCACAGTTGAGGAAAAGGGGAAATCACGTGCTGAGTTTAATGCAGGTGGATTAAGGGCAGCAGCAGAACCCCAAATGGGCAAACCCAGAGCCAGACTCACATAGTGGTTGAGAACGTTCACTGTGGCAACGAATTTGCGGGACGTTGGGACGTCCAGGTCTGGGGTGTACGGGAGGTTGGTCAGGGTGAAGTTAAGGGTGAAATTCCTGGTTGGTGCTCCTGGTGCAGTTGTTGTGCTTGGAGCTGTAATCCAAGGGGAGAAGGATTATGAATTTATCACAGAAGAGTTACCTCCTCTTTCAAAGACATTTCCCAACCCCAGCACGTTTCAAGGCTACTCTGGATAATCTCTTCCCCTCTCAATAATCTCTTCCCCTCTTATTTTCTGAGGGCACCACTCCTTTGACACCTTCCCCTGCAGTGAATTCAGCAAAATACTTACATGATCTCTGAAGTGGTTCATTGTAACCTGGAGAGGAAATGCAAGAGAAATGTTATGTAAGAGAACCATCCACTTAAGAGAATGAAAGTGGAGAGGGGATGATTAAATGGATGACTTGGGAGTGAATCATCAGAACCTGCCCCCGAGGGTGTGAATCTGTTAAAACAAACAAAGCTCAAGCAGAACAAGGTGCTTTTGTAAGAGTGGTGACTAAAATGAGAAAACCTCCTTGTAATTAAATACTGGTGGGATAGAAAGCAGGTGAAATGTTCACCTGCAGGTGAATGACTGAGGTCAAGGCTAAAATTAAGTCACTCTTCAGCGTAATACAGAAATTAAAGTCTTCAAAAATGTCTGGGTGAGAAGATTTTAAAGCTTACACCTCATCTTACACAGAAAACTCCAGTGGGGTTTCAGGCCACTTTTTTAACACTGAAGTGATCCCTGAGCCCCCAGGTGGTCCCAAACTGCTCAGTGCCCAGAGGAAGGAGAAAATCAAACACTTACCATTGACATAGAGGCTCTTGCTGTCCAGGTTGTAGATTCCTAACTTGGTGATGCCATTTGTCATGTTCCTCAGTTGCTGGTAAACCTCAGGGGGGTTAAACTTGGGCACCTGGGAGCTGTTTCTGTAGCTGCAGGTGGTGTCCACTCCTGTGCTATCCCTCTTCTTCATTGCCCTAAGGAATTCAATATCATAAAGCTTCTGTTAGTTATTTAAAAAAACCTTTTTTTTCCCTTTTTTTTCTTTCTTTCCTGATGTGATTGAAAAAACCCCAAACAAATCTGTCCACAGTCCTCAGATGGGCCGCAATGGTGTGGTCTGACAAAGAAAAAGGCTTTGCAAGGAAAAGACAACAGAAAAGGGGCACAGAAGCTTTATTATAGTGATGAGAACTACTTGAAAAAATGAAAGGAAGTGCCAGTCAAACTTAAGGAAATCCATCTGCTGCAGTTCAAAGTTAATCTTTCACTTAACTGCTCACCTGAATCCCGTTACTTTGCAGCCAGAGAAATAGGGGCCAATGCTGCTCCTCTGCAGCAGGGGCTCAATCTGACAAGGAAAAAAAAAAAAGAATCTTTGTGACCAGGGGAAACCCCAAGATCTGGGTGATTTCAGTGACAAGCAGCGTGGCTTTGGCTTACGTAGTGTCGCATTATCCTCTCAGCCGAACGGAACCGGGCAGAGTTTGGTGTCTCCAGGTCTCTCGTGAACATCAGGTTGGTTATGGTGAAGTTGAGGGTGAAGTGCTCTGTTGTGGGTCCTGGGGTTGTTGGTGTGGGGGTTGGTTTCACCACTGAGGGAACAAAACCCACTCAGATTAAATAAGAACAGGATCTGCATAATAACAGGGCTGTTAGTAAGTATCTCAGAGCAAAAAGCCACGCACACCTTCCAAGGGTTACAAACAGGGGGAAGCGAAATCAATTTATGCCTCTGAGTAGCTTTAACATGTCCTTAAATATACTTACATGAGCGACTGGGTGGTTCATTGTAATCTGAAAAACAAATGGACAATTATTGGGGAAATATTCCAAGCAAGTCTCAGCAGGATTAAATACCTGGGGTTTTTATTCCAAGATTGTAGTTCCTGAATTCATGACTTTGTGACTCTGATAGGTCTTTGCCTTCTACTTTTTTTGTTATCTGCTTTTGAGAGGTGTATTAAAATCCTCTCCATTCTCATTTCAAATTACTCTGTGTCAACATTAAAGGCTGGACTTGTTGATCTGGGAGGTCTTTTCTGACCTCAACGAGTCCACAATTCTAACACAGAATCCCAGAATGGTCTGGGCTGGAAGGGACCTTAAAGATCATCCCATTCCAACCCTGGGACCTTAAAGATCATCCCATTCCAACCCCCTTCATTGGACAGGGACACTTTTCACTAGACCAGGGTGCTCAGAGCTCCACCCAACATGGCCTTAAATACTTCCAGGGATGGGGGAGCCACAACTTCATCAGGAATAACACCTTGAGGTTGTTTGTTACCATCAATGTAGAGGCTCTGGCTGTTAAGGCTGAAGTGTCCCAGCTTGGTGATGCCATTTGTCATGTTGCTCAGCTCATGGTAAATGGTTTCCCTGTTGAATTTGGGCCCTGAAGGCTCATCTCTACAGCTGCACATGGCATCTACTCCTGTGCCATCCCTGTTCTTCTTTGGCCTGGGGAATGAGGCAATGTTTTAGGTGTCTTGGCCATTATTGAGAAATCCATCTTAACTTTTAGGACATGATCAAAGACTTATATAAAAAAAAATACTTAGAGGCAAAACTACCAATTAAAAAAAACCAACAAAACAAACAAAAACCACCAAGAGATGTGTTGAGTGCTGAGAAACAGGAAGGAACATTTTAAGAAGCAGGTCATGGAGCCTTTCCCCAGACCTTGCTCTTACCTGAGTGCCATTACTTTGCAGCCAATATAAGCAGGGCCAATGCTGCTTCTTTGGAGTAAAGGGTCCACCTAGAAATTCAACAGTAACATGTAATTAGGCCAAATGTCACAGCAGAGGTGAGAGATCAGAGATATTAAAAGAACTGGGCCCCAACAGGACGTGGTTTTGCCTGACTTACATAATAGGACATGACTCTTTCTGTTGACTTGAATTTCCTAGAATTTGGTGTTGCCATATCTGCAGTGAATGGCAGGTTGGTTATAGTGACATTCAAGGTGAAGTTCCTCACTGCTGGTGGCAGAGGTTGTGTATTTAGAGCAGCAGCTGCAATGAGAAAGGAAAAGTCAATGCC